GTAGTAGTAGTAGTAGTAGTAGTAGTAGTAGTAGTCGTAGTCGTAGTCGTAGTAGTAGTAGGTAGTAGTAGTAGTTAGTAGTTAGTAGTTAGTAGCTAGTAGTTAGTAGTTAGTAGCTAGTAGTAGTAGTAGTTAGTAGTTAGTCGTAGTAGTAGTAGTAGTCGTTAGTAGTTAGTAGTAGTAGTAGTAGTAGTAGTAGTAGTAGTAGTAGTAGTAGTAGTAGTAGTAGTAGTAGTAGTAGTCGAAGTAGTCGAACTAGTAGTGGTAATAGTGGTAGTAGTAGTTGTTGTTGTAGTAGTCGTAGTAGTAGGAGTAGTAGTAGTAGTAGTAGTAGTGGTAGTAGTAGCTGTAGTAGTAGAAATAATAATAATTGCAGTCGTAGTAGTAGTGGTGATAGTAATCGTTGTAGTACTCGTAGTAGTAGTAGTAGAGGTAGTAGTAGTAGTAGTAGTCGTCGTAGTAGTAGTAGTAGTCGTAGTAGTAGTAGTAGTAGTAGTAGTATTTGCAGTAGGAGTAGTAGTAGTAGTAGTAGTAGTAGTAGTAGTAGTAGTAGTAGTAGTAGTAGTAGTCGTAGTCGTAGTCGTAGTAATAGTAGTAGTCGTAGTAGTAGTAGTAGAAGTCGTAGTAGTAGTAGTAGTAGTAGTAGTAGTAGTAGTAGTAGTAGTAATCGCAGTATTACTGATAGTAGTCGTATTATCATTAGTAGTAGTAGAAGTAGTCGTAGTAGTAGTCGTAGTAGTGGTAGTAGTGATAATAATAGTGGTAGTAGTAGTAGTAGCAGAAGTAGTAGCAGTTGTTGTTGTAGTAGAAGCAGTAGTAGTAGTAGTAGTCGTAGTCGTAGCAGTAGGAGTATTACTAGCGGTAGTAGCAGTAGTGGTAGTAGTACTAGTAGTAGTAGTAGTAGTGGTAGTAGTAGTCGTAGTGCCAGTCGTAGGCGTAGTAGTAACAGTAGTAGTAACAGTAGTACCAGTAGTAGTAGTAGTAGTAGCAGTCGTCGTCGTAGTAGTCGTAGTAGTCGCTGTAGTCGTAGTAGTAGTCGTAGTCGTAATCGTAGTCATTGTTTCGTTATGGTAGTAGTAGTCGTCGTAGTAGTAGTAGTAGTAGCAATCGTAGCAGAATTGATCGTAGCAGTAGTCGTAGCAGTAGTCGTAGTAGTAGTAGTAGTAGTAGTAGTAGTTGTAGTAGCAGCAGTAGTAGTAGTAGTAGTAGTAGGAATAGTAGTCGTTTCAGTAGTAGTGGTGGTAGTAGTAGTAGTAGAAGTAGCTGTAGAAGTAGAATAAGGTGAATAAGTATAAGTATGCGTAAATCTTCCGGTAATAATCGTAATAGTAGTAGTAGTAGTAGTAGTAGTAGTAGTAGTAGTAGTAGTAGTAGTAGTAGTAAACGTAGTAGTAGTAGTAGTAGTCGTCGTCGTCGTCGTCGTCGTCGTCGTCGTCGCCGTAGTAGTAGTAGTAGTAGTAGTAGTAGTAGTAGTAGTAGTAGTCGTAGTAGTAGTAGTAGTAGTAGTAGTAGTAGTCGTATTAGTAGTAGTAGTAGTAGTAGTAGTAGTAGTAGTAGTAACCATAAAAGTAGTGATGGTTGTAGTCGGGCCACCCTTCGTCTATGGCCGCAAGCGTCCCGCCCATCTAAGGCCGGTATGTGTGTAATGCCGTCAATGCTGCCATATGGACACCGCATACAAATTACGATTCAGTCACTTGTGATTTCGGGCCAGGTTCACATGCGCCAAACGATGTTCAACGGATTCCTTCGGTAGCATTTCGCGCTCCTCATTTTGCCATCCAGAAACACGTCGGAGCCCTTACGACGCCCTTCGGGTTCCTGCGGGATTCTTCGCGATTCCTAGCGGGGCTGTTCGAATTCCCGATTCTTCACGACAGGACCCGAAGACTCCTGAGGAATCCTGAGGCATTTTGAGGACTCTCATGTGTTTTTCGTGCGCGCGCCACCCCCTTTGATGACATGAGGGGGGGAAGGGGATGAGGGGGAAAGGGGGGGATGAGGAAGGGGAGGGGGAGGGCGCAGAGGAAGAGGCGGAGGACGTTGGCTCGGAAGGGGCTTCGATGCTTGAGTCGTGCATTGGGTCAGAGTCTGAAAACCTGCTTCTAGCAGAATCTTATCGCTCCTTATCGAAGACGCCTACGGCGAATCACCGCCGCCCCCTGCCTTTTGGGAAGCGCCTCTGTGGCCAAAGGGTGGGCCCCAGTTTGGCCAAGCCCTGGAAATTCTTTCTGCAACACTTGAGGGACGATGATGGGGGAGGATCAGGAAAGAGTGGAAAAAGACGGAAGAGGAGCAGGAGGAGGAGGAGAAGGAGGAGGAGGCCTTTTGGGAGCCTCTTGGGGTCACCTTAGGGCCTCCAGGGAACTCTCTGAGGTCCTCTTGGATGCTTTTTGGAGGCCTGGTTGGGCTTCTTGGTGCTTTGGGGGGGCGTTCCTGGGGGTGGCCGCTTTGGCCGTCTTGCGGCGTTCCTGGCCCGCCTGGCAGCGTTTTGAGGGCCTCTCTGGGCAGTTGTGGGGCCCGCTTGTGGCGCTTCAGAACCTTTCTTTGGGGCCATTTCGGACGTGTTGGAGGCCTCTTGGCCGTCTCGGGGCGTTATTCGGGCCGTGTTGGGGACCCGCAGGGGCCGTCATGAGGCCAGCGTGGAATAATCTTGGCCAACGATGCGCCATATGTGGTTTCAAATGGTACGCCAATGGTGGTAGCACGCGGTGCATTTTAGGTGATTTCATATTACGCCCCATGTGCAGTATCACCTGGTACGGCAGATGTCGTACATATGGCACGATAGATATCGGTAGTATCATATGGTCCATCATGTCGTCTGCAGTATCAGTGTGTACAATATAGGTGATACCATCGGAGACGGCATAAGTTACATCAAATGGCACTGCATGGGTCGTGCTGCATGGCGCGACATATGGAGTGTCATATGGCGCATCGTGAGGAATCGCGCGTGCAACGCTGGAAGCCGTATGTCCGATACATCATGCATTATGAGCAAGTACATCCTATACACCTACTATGTAATACACTGTAGTGCACCATAAGTGCATCGTGCCATGTGGTGTGGTGAATATGATCTGCTCTGGTACAACATGCGCAGTATCAAC